AGAACTTTAGGGGCTGGTGTGGTAGGCTAAGCTTCTGCCTGCGGCACTGGCATCCCATATGGGTGCCCGTTCGAGATCCGGCTGCTCCACTTCCAATCCAGCTCTCTGCTATGGCCTGGGAAAGCAGTAGAAGATGGCCCAAGTCCTTGGGCTCCTGCACCCGCGTGGGAGACCTGGAAGAAGCTCCTGGTCCTGGCTTCGGATCTGCGCAGCTCCAGCCATTGCGGCCAGCTGGGGAGTGAACCAGCAGATGGAAGACTCTTTCTCTCTGTCTCTCCTCTCTCTGTGTAACTCTGACTTTCAAATGAATAAATAAATTTGAAAAAAAAAATAGAACTTTACTTTTATACTTGTAACTAGGAATTCTAATTACCTATTAGATGCAATTCAGAAATGCATGTGTATTTGCGGGAAACGTAAAACAATGCTTAGTCATCAAAACTTCTTGTTCTTCACTGGTTCTTCCCCCGACTGTGCTGCTGCAGCAATTTTGTGTGTGCGCTCCTGGAAGTTCTTCTAGGCTTTGAGAGAGAGAGAGAGAGAGGAGAGAGAGAGAAGTGATCAGACTTGTACATGAGGAGTCTGCAAAGAGTTCATGTAAAATGCTTATTATGGCCGGCACCGCGGCTCACTAGGGTAATCCTCCGCCTTGCGGCACCGGCACACCGGGTTCTAGTCCCGGTCGGGGCGCCGGATTCTGTCCCGGTTGCCCCTCTTCCAGGCCAGCTCTCTGCTGTGGCCAGGTAGTGCAGTGGAGGATGGCCCAAGTGCTTGGGCCCTGCACCCCATGGGAGACCAGGAGAAGTACCAGGCTCCTGCCATCGGATCAGCACGGTGCGCCGGCCGCAGCGCGCCGGCCGCGGCTGCCATTGGAGGGTGAACCAACGGCAAAGGAAGACCTTTCTCTCTGTCTCTCTCTCTCACTGTCCACTCTGCCTGTCAAAAAAAAAATAAATAAATAAAAATAAAAAATGCTTATTATGAAATAATGACACATAGATTTCAACTTTTTGCACCAAAATAAATGTAGCTTTTAATTCCATTTTTCTGTGACCATTGAAGTTTTTTTTAATTTAGATTATTTATTTGAAAGTCAGAGAGAGGAGACAGCGAGAGAGAGAGCATTCTCCCATCTGCTGTTTTACTCCTCAAATGCCTGAAATAGCCATGATTGGGTCAGATTGAAGCCAGCAGCCAGAAATGCAATCCAAGTCTCCCTTGTGGGTTGAAGGGACCAAGTATTTGAGCCGACACCACTGCCGCCCAGGGTGCACATTGGCAGGAAACCGGCACTGGAAGCAGAGCCGGGACTTGAACCCAGGCACTCTGAGGGGCCTGTGGACATCCCAAGCACATCTTTCCCACTGCACCAAATGCCTTCCCCTTGAAGTAGAATTTCACAGTGTACGGAATCACTGTCTAATGAGGGGACATCGCCACTGTCCCAGTGACCTGCCACAGTGCTGCACTGAGCATTCTTCAGCGTATGGCTCTTGTCTGTCTAGAGAGCTGACCGCAAGGAATGGATTCGCACAACTGGGATCTGGATAGCTACGGCTTTACCAAGAACATCCCCTCCAGCAGGGTGGGGGAGCAACTGCCTCCTGGCCTGCCCTTTGGGTTCCCGGTCATTTTTTTTCTTTTAAAAATAATTTGTTTTTATTTATTTGAAAGCGAGAGAGGGACAGAGAGGCACAAAGGGATGTGCCAGCTGCTAGTTCACTCACCGGATGCTCAGGGACCTGGCACTCAGTCTGGTTCTTCCGTGCTGCTGGCAGGGACTCAAGTACTTGGGCCATCACCTGCTGCCTCCCAGGGCGCACATTAGCAAGAAGCTGAATCAGAAGCTGAGCCAGGACTTGGACCTAGGTAGTCCAATACGACATATGGGCATCTCAAGCTTCAGCTTACTTGCTACGCAAACACCCCCCACCACATCTTTCTGCTTTGCCGCTCTCCAGGGGCCTTTGTGGTGAGGTCGTAGCATCCCCACCCATCAGTGGACCAAGCGTGGGCTCTAACTCCCTCTGTTGTGCTGTAGAGAGATTTCCTCCACAAGGGGGAGCTGGATCCCGTGACTGCCAGTGCCCTGGGTTCCAGGAAAGAGGCACTTGCCTGGATGGGAGGCATCAGAGTTCCCGGGAGTCCTGGGGCAGCCCTGGCTCTTCTGGTTCTCCCAGGGGGCTTGCAGGAGGGGAATCTGGCTTCCACTTTCACCTGTAACGTCTCAGTTCCGGGGGCAACCTGGGGGCCCTTTCGCTTTCTCAGTAGTGCGGAGCGTATGTTGGTGAGGGGTCTCCGTGGAAGCCTTCAGAGGTCCTGGCTGGGATCTATGGCATCCCTGTAGGGAATCTGGTCCCTCCTGCCTGGCCTGGTTACTGCCCTGACTCCATCTCCTGTCATAAGCCCACAGAGGACGACCCGAGCGCTTCGAGAGTCCCCCAGGCACCTGGGAACCCTGCTCTCTGCAGTTCTCCCAGTGAGCGTGGCTCTCACTGTGCCCGCCCCTCCTCCAACACCTCCGGTGGCTCCCTACTGCCTGCAGAGGGACAGGGAGGCATCCATCCTCCTGCACACCTGGGCCCGGGCAACTCTGGGTGGCCTCCCCTCTCTCCTTGCTCTGACTTGAGGTCTTGCTCAGTTCCCCTCCCCTGTGTCCAGACCCTGCTCATCTTATAAGGCCATCTGTGAACCAGGACACAAGCTCCACCCTTCAAATGCAGCCACATTTTACCCTTACCCTGAAGAAGGCTCTGCCAGTGACCCAGTCTCTCTCAGTCCCCACCCTGCTCAAGCCCCGGCACACGGCCACACTGTCATCTGGAATAGTGATGTACGTCCATGCACACAACAGAAACAACCCCTGGACAGGGTTTGAATCCTGCCCCTGCCACTCAGCTGTGATGTGGTAGCTGGTCCCAGCTTCCTCTCCCTTATCTGTCAAATGGGGTGATTGCTCCCGCTCGCTGTATTATGTAGGGGCTCAGTAGTCTTCCACTGTGTGCACGCACGTGCGCATGTGTGTGTGCTTGTGTGTGCGTGTGTGCATGTGCGTGTGTGAGTGTGCATTGACCTCCTCCCTCCTTCAAGGGACACTGGGCAATGCAACTTGGGGCGGGCGCTGCTCTTGGACCTAGCGGTGGAGGCCAGGGATGCTGCTCAGTGTCCTACCATGCATGGGACATCCCGCAGAGACTGGTGAGGCCGAGAGAGCGGGTATAGATGAAAGAAGGCATGCATGCTGCAGGGCAGTTGCAGGGGCCCTGCTGCCCAGCAGGTGTCTCCTGGATGCCATCTGTCAATGTACCTGATTCTCTTTCTTATAAAGATTTGTTTATTTATATATTTGAGAGGCAGAGTTACAAAGAGAGGGAAAGACAGAGAGAACCACATCCGGTGGTTCACGCCCTAAATGGCTACAATGATGGAGCTGCGCCCATCCGAAGCCAGGAGCCAGGAGCTTCTTCTGGGTCTCCCATACAGATGCAGGGTCCCAAGCACTTGGGCCATCTTCTGCTGCCTTCCCAGGCCATCGGCAGGGAGCTGGATCAGAAGTGGAGCCGCCAGGACTCGAACCGGCACCCATAAAGGATGCTGGTGCCACAGGCGGAGGCTTAACCTAGTACACCACAGCACCAATGTGGCTGCTTCATCCCTGTGTGTGCACAACGTCTAGCTTGGAGCCTGGTGCACAGTTGTGAATATCAGGATTATGGAGGAAGGCAGATGCGAGGAGGGCACCTTCCTATTCTTGCAGTTCCGTGGGAAGGAAGCAGAAGAGCCTGGTTTGGGCTGCAGAGAGCTGGGGGGGAGCAGAGGGAGGCTATTCTCGCCGCCATGGAACAGTACCTGGACGGGAGGCGGGGCAGGGGGGACTGTGTGGCTCCTGCGGCCTGGTGGTCGGGGCCCTTTACCGGGGGCGGGGCGGGGGGGGGCTGTGTGGCTCCTGCGGCCTGGTGGTCGGGGCCCTTTCCTTTCTGGCTCTGAATCACGGTGCCAGGGTGAGGAGGAATTCGGAGTGATTCAGGCTACAGTGTTGGCCACTGGCAAGCCACCCAGGTGACTATTTCGGTAATAACAATACGCACTTTTATATCTTCCTTTCATCACAGATCTCAAAGCACAATGCAAACATTCATTAAGGCCTGGGCATTCCACGAGGCACTGTGTGTAAATATCACTCTCCCCTCTTGGCTGAGAGGGTAAGCCAGAGAGGGGCAGGATGGCTTCAGTTCAAAGCCGCTCACGCCTTGTGGAGGTTGGGTCTTCCAGGCATGTTGGGGTTAGGCAGCTCCCTGCCCCTCCAGCTACGACTTCTGAGTGGGATCCCCCGGCCCTGTTGAATGGAGATGGTTTCCTGGTCCCCACTGGGGTCGGGACAATGGAAAGGGCAAGGACAGCAGGGCCTGGGCGGAATGCTGAAGTCAGGTGTACAGAGGAGCCCCGGGTTGGGACACGCCCCTGACTGCCAGCCCCACGCAGGGACAGTATGCACCCACCTCAGCTCCTGGGAGGGCAGTGGGGGCCCCCAGGCAGCTGCCTGAAGGAAGTCCAGAACGTTGTTCTTGGGGTGATTTTTCTTTGCCTTGCAATCTAAAATAAACTTTCCCTAAAATGTGGACAACGGGGGGAACGCGGTGAAGCATCCTTGTACTGTGCTCCTTGCGTTCCTCCTGCAAAGTTTCCGTAAACTTGATGCTCTTTTCAAATAAAAAGAGTGAGAAAGAGGCGAGCATGAACGTGTTCTCAGGAGCCCCATCGGCAGCGCGGCTGGTCCCTCCCCAGGCAGGTGCACGGTCCGCTGTCCCTTGCAGGATGGACCTCCCTCTCGAGAGCCACCGTGGCCGTAAGAAACAGGAGGGAAAGGAGAAAAGAGGGAAGCCGGTTCCTGTTTCTCCCCGCGGGCTGTGATCCCCTTGGTGGCGCCCTCCCGCCCCCTCCCCCGGCCCCCGCCCCCGCGCCGACACTGCCCCCTGCGGTGACTCACGCCCACAATCGTTTAAATACCGGGAGGCTCTGGCCAGCGGCACTCATGCTGCAGCCTTGAGCCGCCCCGCGTGCTCGTCTGGGGCTCCCTCTGGTCGACTGAGGGCGTGCGGGAGGCGCCAAGCTGCGGGTAAGTGCCAATCGGTCCTCTCCCCGCCCCCGGCCCTCCACCCCTTGCTGGGGACCCCGCTGCCCGCCCGCCGCGGGAGAGAGCCGGACGGGGCAGGGCTGGCGTGGTGCCTGGGATGCTCACCGAAAAGCCGGTGGAGCTGCTCTGGCGGAGACGGGGTCGGCCCCTGAGGTCAGCTGGGGCTTGAGGGCGACTCCAAGACCGCGCCCGCTGACTGCTCCGGACACCAGACCCTGGGGTCAGGTGGGCTGCTCTGCCTTTGGGTCTGGCCGGTACCAGGGAGACCCTCTGCTTGCGAGTGTCCTGGGAGGGAGGTCCGTCCTGTTCACAGACTCGGAGTTGCTGCCAACGCAGCTTTGCCCAGGTGCCTGGTCGCAGCTCCAGTGTGGATTCGGCTGCTGGCCCAGAGTGGGGCCGGTTCTGTGCGGGGCTTGGGTGTCCCGGCTCTGGAAGCGTCTCCCCCGGCCTGGGCGGCACTGAGGGCTTTGAGGGGGAGCTGTGCTGAGATGCATTTGTCATGGGGTGGTGGTGGTGGTGTGGATTTAGCATTGCCTTTCTTGAGCCTTGCTCAAATGTAGAAGCCGAACCCAGAGCCAAGGAATCCAGTGTGGAAAACCAGAACTTTCTGGACCTTCCCAATTGAGCCGAAGCATGAGAGCACTATGCCACCTTGGGGGCCAAGCGTGTGCCCTCCAGCAGGTCCCGGCCCCGGCCCGGATCCACTTTGGGGTCACCTGGGGCTCTGGGTGCTGTCTCTGGCCCCAGTGACTGAGACACTCCCTGACAGCTGGCTCTGCCCTTTGGCAGCAGTTGAACATCTGGGCTGAATTCAGGACCAGACAATCCAATTTGTCTGTGGCCTTGAGTCAGGCGGTGGGTGGCTCAGCCCGCGGGAGGGGGCGGGGCCAGCGGAGGGTGTGAGCAGACCCCCAGAGAGTCAGGGCTGGGGTGCAGCCTTGCCTTGCTTACTCAGTGGCCGGGCTGGAAGTCAATCCAGACGCGGAGAAAGGAGGGCCGTCCTGACTTGGTCCCGCCGAGGCCGGGTTTCACATGGCAATTTGCTGCTCTGGAGCCCAGCCACCAGAGCGTGGCTGCAGCTTTGGGTTTTCATGGCTTCCCTTGCTTTTGGGACACAGAATTGAGAAGCCAAGAGACTTTGATCAGGGATGGACCCGGCTCTGTGTCGTGGGGCTGCCCCGGGTGCTACTCTGAGAAGGGGAGAGAGTGGCTTCTTCCATAGAAGCCCCGTGGGGAGGGTCCCGTTCTCCTGGGCACTGTCAGTGGCTCCTGCTCCCTTGCCAACCTAATTACAGCCCTGCTGTGGCTTCTGCAGGAAGCTGAGCCTGACCTCCCCACCCTGGGAGGAGCCCCTCAGAGGGGCTGGAGAGGAATCCATTTTCCTTACTCGTTTTCTTTTTTGGAACAGTGGGCAATATTTCGGGAGAGATGAGGGTGAACAATTGAGCGAGGTGGAGAGGGGGAGAGGAGGGCGTGGCCAGTCTTGCCTTGGGGTTCAGGGGTGCTCAGTGTTTGGGGTACAGCGTGCCTAAATCAGGAACCGAAGGGTGGGGCTATGTGTGTTGGGATTACTGGGGTCAGCCTTTTCCATCCCTTCCCTCCACCTCCGGGCTACTCCAGTGAATTCAAGGGACACTGGTGTCACAGCAGCCTGAAAGAAGATCCCGGGAACCATGCAGCCTGGCAGCCGGGAGAGGCACTAGACCGGGGCCAATAATGTGGGGCAGGTGGAGGGTGGACTACACGTGAACCTCAGCTTCTGTGCGGTGAGGACAGCAAGGCCACCTCTTCCCCACTCTCAGGCACTGCCCCATGTGGCTGGCAAGACCTTGAAGCCTCGTGGCAAGGTTCAGGAGTCCCGACTGGCTGTCAGGAGTGGTCAACTAGCTGTGTGTCCTTGGGCAAGTCCCCTTCCCCCTAGGGACCTCCCCCACCCCGTTTTCCCATCTACACAATGACCAGATGGGTTGACCAGATGCTCCCAAGAAGCTCTTGCTCCAAGTACCACTTCTGGAAGTACCTTCTACTGCTGGGTACAACTGGGCGTGAGCCGCGGATTCCTGGTGGGGTTGCGGCAAGGGCCACTGAAGGAAATACGCGCTTGGTGAGCTGGGCTGGGCCTCCCCTGGCTGAGCCTTCTGTCTCTGTTCTGGGTGCTAAGTGACAGAGTTCCCAGTTGGTCTGAGAATTCCTGCATCAGAGTTGCATGGGGATGGGGGGGGGGTGGTTCTGCTAAACAAGCAAAGTCCTGGGCCCCACCCACCCCTAGGGGTCGGGTCTCCGTGGGTGGAGCCTCCAGAGATGAAGAGTTTACTCAGCTCCGAAAATAACAGTGGTTGTCCCTGCCATTGATGGGGACTCACCTCGTGCCGGGAGCTTGCTTAAGTGTTTGCACGTGTTAGCTCGCTGGAGGTGCCAGCAGCATCGCCGTGAGGTCGGTCCCATTAACCCAGCTTCCTGGGTGTTGCTCACGTGCTGCTCTGGGGGCATGAGTGGTGAGTAGTGAGATTTGAACTGAGATCTTGGCCCCTGGCTTTGGCCCAGCCCCAGTCATTGTGGCTCTGGGGGCATGGAGGCCTGAGCCTCTCAGCCCTGCAGTGGCTTCAGCCCCGTGGGCCTGGCATGAACGGGCAGCGTGACCGGGCCCGGCAATGGCTCCAGGCCTCAGCTGCTCTGTACCCGTCCCCTCTCTCGGGAGCCCTTAGCCTGGTGGGGTGCCCTCTTGCTGGTAATTAGGAGCCCTGTGTCGGGGCGGGCATGAGAGGACGAGAGAGTCCCTTTGTGGGCCTTGGTTCCCCTTGGTGTGCTGGGAGAGGCCTGGGTCCCAGGAAGCGGCTGCTGGCTCTGTGCGGAACGGTGGGCTGGCTCTGCCTGGCAGCTTTGGAAACAATGTGGACATGAGCAGAGGGTACCAGCTCCGGATGCCGCAGCATGCAGGCGGGGCCCAGCCCCGTGTCGGTCCAGTGTGACCTCCAGTGAAGAGAGAGAAGGAAGAGAAAGGCTGGGCTCCAGGTCCAGCCTCCCGTCTGTGAGGGAGCTTTTGCCCGAGAGTCTTTCCAGATGGGGAAACTGAGGCCAGCAGAGCTTACAGACTCCCACTCCGAATTACGTGGAGGCCAGAGTAGGAGGGTGGTTGGCCGCATCCTCCGAACGTCTTACTTGGGAGGGGTTTGAAGCACAAAGGGGTCTCCCTCCAAGGAACCCTGAGTAGATGAGCATTGGAGGCCGGGGAAGTCCCAACTTGTCCAGCAGCAGGGCCCCCGGCTCTGAGGCTAATTGTGTGTTTGCCGCTGAGTCACAGGGCGCTTCCACTCCTGGGGAGGGGCCGCGTCGCTGTCCAGGTGAGCTGGCTGTCCTGTCTGCCTGACTTTGTCGACTTCACGGGCCAGTGGCAGACGCCAGGCTGTGCCCCCTCCCCAGGGGCTGGACAGGGGCTGGACCGAGTTGTCACTGTGATTGAGGACGCGCCAGCTGCCTGGGGGAGGGAGGTGTAATTAGGCCAGCTTTGTGGGCCTTTAACTGCCATGGGTCACGGCTGCCAAGCAGCACAGTGCAGCGTGGGCTATTAGGCTGCTGTGTGCGGGGCTCCCGGAGGCCACGGGCTGTGCACGCGCCTGCAGCCCTCTCTGGGAATCCAGGGGACCCGCCCCCGGGGCCTTACGACTGGGTTTGGGGTGAGCTCCGCGGAGGTCCTCCTGGCAGTCGTTGGCAGCTGCATCATAGACAGGAGGCGACAGCATGTGGTACTGGGGCGGGAGCTGCGGGCTGAGGACTTACAGAAAGGACCAGCTGCAAATTCTTGCCATGTCTGTCGCACTGAGTGTGGCCCTGTCCCCGCCCCGGCATTGTCTCTCCTCTCCTCCACCCTCCCTGCCACACGCCCTTCCCAGAAGGGTCCTTGGGGGTACTCCATCCTATGCTTGTAGGTGCTTGTAGGTCACTTGTAGGTGCAGCACACAGCAGAGACTGCCCTGGGCTTGCCAGGTGATGGCCACTTCATTTAGTCTCGGATACTCGTGCTCTGACCCCGCGGAGAAGCGTTGTGGGCACAGGAATCTACATTTAAAAGAATTCCGCAGCGATGTTTGGCCTAGTGGTTAAGACACCTGCATCCTGTATCAGAGTGTTGGGTTCATTCAGGTCCTGCCTGCACTCCCAATTACAGCTTCCTGCTGGTGTGCACTCCAGGAGGCAGCAGGCAACAGTAGTTGCACACCTGCACACCTGCACACCTGCCACCCACATGGGAGATTTGGATTGAGTTCCTGGCTCCTGGCTTTGGCGCTGGCCCAGCCCTGGTCACTGTAGGCATCTGGGGAGTGAACCAGTGGGAGGGAGCTCTCTCTTTCTGGCTCTCAAATTTATTTTTAAAAGTGCTAGCCAGCCCATCAGAAGGCACAACTAGAGCTTTACGTTTTGTAAGGCCATCCCGGGAAATCTTTCACACATGTGCACCCACGGGCGGCCAGCCCTCTGCACGTGTCCACACAGACCCCTGGCAGCAGAGGTGCAATTATCCTGGTAGGTGGGTCTCCTATACTCGGAGCCTCAGGATCCTGAAATTTGGGCAGTGGACAGGGAATCGGCTGTCTTGAGTCCACCCCCTACAAGATGCAGGACTCTTCCCTCCAGCTTCCTCACCGAAAGGCCGCGCACGCTTCCAGCGACGCGAGCGTACTGCTTGCCTGGAGTCGTCCATTCCGACTCTGGACAAGCTGTCTTTGAGCTGAAATTGCTACTGCACAACTTCTGCACACTAGAGTGGAGGCCCACGCAGGGCAGCCCTGCATGCGGAGGAAGGGGTGCTCATGGTATCCTCAGATCTTCTCTGCTGCTGCTGCCTGTTCCTCCACGGTGCCTCTCTGGGTGCCCTCACTGCCCTCTTGAAGTGCTTCAAAGGCCCACCTGGTGTGTCATTGGCTTTCTTGAAGCTCGGAGTGGAACCGGACACAGCACTGCAGGTGTGCGAGACCGTCACCTCCTTTGTTTCACACTTGATGCTTCTATTCATTCGGCCTCAGATCACAGTAGCTTTGGGGGGCAGCTTCCTTTCTTTGTTATTGTCTACAAAAAGCACCGTCTTTCTCCTGGGGTGGATGTTGAGCCACTTTTTCGGTGCTCCCTTGTTAGACAATTCACTTTGTGACCTAACATTTGTCTGTACAAGTTCATGCACTTTTTAAAGGTGAGTGTACAGAGGCTGGTGCTGTGGCATGGCTGGTAAAGCTGCTGCCTCCAATGCCAGCATCCCATATGGGCGCTGGTTCGAGTCCAAGCTGCTCCACTTGTGATCCAGCTCTCTGCTGTGGCCTGGGAAAGCAGTAGAGGATGGCCCAAGTGCTTGGGCCCCTGAACCCATGTGGGAGACCCGGAAGAAGCTTCTGGCTCCTGGCTTTGGATCAGCACAGCTTTGGGCATTGCAGCTATCTGGGGAGTGAACCAGCGGATGGGAGATCTCGCTCTCTCTCTGCTTCTGCCTTTCTGTAACTTTGCCTTTCAAATAAATAGATCGATCTTAAAAAACAAAAACAAAAACAAAAGTAGGTAAAGATGAGTGCACAGCCGAGCCTGGCGCTGTTCCTTTGCACCTAGATTCTGTTGGCCAGAGTCCTCTTTTTCCTTTCTTTTTTTTTCACAGTTCTGCATACTCAGTCAAGTCCCCAATGCAGAAGTACAGGAGGTCAGGGGTTGGGTATATAAGCAAAACAAAAATCAAGGTCTGTGTGGGTGGGAGGTGAGTTTGGGTTTACCCAACAAGAGTGAGCCTGCTGGGGGTAAGGGCAGGTGCATGGGGCTGCGGCCATCGGAAAGCCTGGATTATTCTGAACTCCAGAGCCCACAAGTTCAGGGTCACAGGGAGAGGGCAGAGAGAAGCCTTCCACACCCTGCTGGTGTCTGCCCTCCACGCCTTCATCTGAGACTCCTGCCTGTGAGTCAGGACTTGTGCTCATCAAAGGAGAGACATCCCATTAACGCTCGGAGGACTCGCTAAGGATCTGGAGGCCGGGGCTTCATGCTTTGAGCCTCAGTGTCCCTGCTTCCAGCATCCCCATAAAATGATGGGAGGGCAGGGCCAGCAGCAAGCCCTTAGCCCTCCAGGAGGTGCAGGCGCCTTTGAACCTGGACAGAAGTTGCAGACACTCTCATGCACAAACAGAAGCATTGGTCCCTTGACTAAGCTTGCTGGGTTAGAAGCACCCCGAGGCCTCCTGCCTCCTCTTGGCACAGCCACTCACGTTTGCGCGTCCCTGTTCCTTAGCACAGCACTGTTCAGGATGCCCCGCACCCGTTCCCTGTCTGCACCTCACGACAGCCCCACCAAGGGGAGGTCGAGCTTATCATCCTTAATTCACGGGTGAGGAAGCTACAGCTCGCAGGCCTCAAGCTTCATTCAAGGTCAAACAGATAGTGGTCCTTAAGTATGAGCGTGGTAGCCACATCCCATATCTCTACATTACACACACACACACACACACACAAGTGCACAAACCATGCACACTAACGGATGCTTATCATGGTCATAGTGACTTCCAACACTCAAACTGCAGTGAATTTGGCTCCATCCCCAGGTCAGCTCTGTGCCGCAGGGAGCATCTGGACCTACCCCCCTCCCCGTTAGCTCAAAGTGCTTCCTGAGTTTTCTGGGACTTATTAAAGGCCACCCAGTCGTTTCTTTGTGGAAACAGGGACTCACACCCAGAAGGCAGGCAGCAGCTGAGACAGAGTGGCCTCCCCCAGCCAGACAGGCTGTGGCCTCAGTAGAGCATTTCTTTGTACTGGGAAGGTGGTTTGCATGAAACCTGGGTGGAGCGCCTGTGAAAGGGTTAACAAAGGGACAGTTGTTGGTTGTGGTGAGGGTGCAGAGGAGTCAGCGTCTCTGTCCATCCAGCAGATCAGCAGCATGGTCCTCACTCTGCCGGCTGCACAGTCCCTCCTGGGAGCCGCCATGTTGGTGGCCTTAACGTGTCCCCTCCCCCAGGTTCGGGTCACATTTATTCTCATTTCCTTTTTTTTTTTTTTTTTAAGACTTATTTTATTTATTTGAAAGACAGAGTTACAGAGAGAGGTAGAGACAGAGAGAGAGGTCTTCCATCTGCTGGTTTACTCCCCAGATGGCCACAACGGCCGGAGCTGCGCCGAACCGAAGCCAGGAGCTTCTTCCAGGTGTCCCATGCGGGGGCAGGGGCCCAAGCACTTGCGCCATCTTCTACTGCTTTCCCAGGCCATAGCAGAGAGCTGGATTGGAAGAGGAGCAGCCGGGACTAGAACCTGCGCCCATATGGGATGCTGGTGCTTTAGGCCAGGGCTTTAACCCGCTGCACCACAGCGCCAGCTCTCTCATTTCCTCTCTGTTCCACCTGCCAAGGCCAGGTTCCACCAGCATCTTCAGGTGCTGTGAAGGACACAGAGATGGGTAAGACACAGGCCCTGCCCTGTGGAAGAACCTTCAGGATACAAGATGAACTCCTTGTCCTCACAAAGCTTATTGACTAAGGAAGGAGACAGACAGGCACATGACCCATGCCCTGTCATTGCATGGGCAGTGATGGGGGCTGGAAAGACCACCTGCACGGTGGAGTAACTAACACCAAGCTGTGGCCTCGGGGAGTTCTGTATGGGCTGTTGCACTTGAGCTAGACTTGGAAGTATGGGAAAGCTTTGGATGAGGATGGAGAGCTCTCAAGGTGGGGGAAATCACTCCAGTAAAGGTGTGGGCGTGGGAAGGCCTGGGGGAAGGCAAAGAGGCTTGCAGGCCACAGCACAGGGAGTGTGAGTTGGGCACGCGATGACAGGGCTTGAAGCTAGTCGGTGCTGTCCGTGCCCTGACCCTGGCTAACGTGCGCTTATCTCCCCTTGCAGAGGCCATGACGCCGAGACATTATCTCCTTTTGCTGGTGGGCTGCCAGGCCTGGGCTGCAGGGCTGGCCTACTATGGCTGCCCTAGTGAGTGCACCTGCTCCAGGGCCTCCCAGGTGGAGTGCACGGGGGCGCGCATCGTGGCGGTGCCCACCCCTCTACCCTGGAACGCCATGAGCCTGCAGATCCTCAACACGCACATCACAGAGCTCAACGAGTCCCCGTTCCTCAACATCTCCGCCCTCATCGCCCTGAGGATCGAGAAGAACGAGCTGTCACACATCATGCCGGGGGCCTTCCGCAACCTGGGCTCGCTGCGCTACCTCAGCCTCGCCAACAACAAGCTTCAGGTTCTGCCCGTCGGCCTCTTCCAGGGCCTCGACAACCTCGAGTCGCTCCTCTTGTCCAGTAACCAGCTGGTGCAGATTCAGCCGGCCCACTTCTCCCAGTTCAGCAACCTGAAGGAGTTGCAGCTGCATGGCAACCACCTGGAATACGTCCCCGACGGCGTCTTTGACCACCTGGTGGGGCTCACCAAGCTCAACCTGGGCAAGAACAGCCTCACCCACCTGTCGCCCAGGGTCTTCCAGCACCTGGGCAACCTGCAGGTGCTCCGGCTGTATGAGAACAGGCTCTCGGACATCCCCATGGGCACTTTCGACGGCCTGGGCAACCTGCAGGAGCTGGCCCTCCAGCAGAACCAGATCGGGACGCTGTCCCCCGGCCTCTTCCACAACAACCGCAACCTGCAGAGGCTCTACCTGTCCAACAACCACATCTCGCAGCTGCCCCCCGGCATCTTCATGCAGCTGCCCCAGCTCAACCGCCTCACCCTCTTCGGGAATTCCCTGAAGGAGCTGTCTCCGGGCATCTTCGGGCCCATGCACAACCTGCGGGAGCTCTGGCTGTACGACAACCACATCACTTCTCTCCCCGACAACGTCTTCAGCAACCTCGGCTCCTTGCAGGTCCTCATCCTTAGCCGCAACCAAATCAGCTTCATCTCGCCGGGCGCCTTCAACGGGCTCTCGGAGCTGCGAGAGCTGTCCCTGCACACCAACGCGCTGCAGGACCTGGACAGCAATGTCTTCCGCATGTTGGCCAACCTGCAGAACATTTCCCTGCAGAACAACCGCCTCCGACAGCTCCCGGGCAACATCTTCGCCAACGTCAACGGCCTCATGACCATCCAGCTGCAGAACAACCAGCTGGAGAACCTGCCCCTGGGCGTCTTCGACCACCTGGGGAACCTGTGTGAGCTGCGGCTCTACGACAACCCCTGGAGATGCGACCCAGGCATCCTGCCTCTCCGCAACTGGCTCCTGCTCAACAAGCCCAGGTTAGGGACCGACACCCTCCCGGTGTGTTTCAGCCCTGCCAATGTCCGAGGCCAGTCCATCGTCATCGTCAACATCAATGCCGCGGCCCCCAGTGTCCAGGTCCCAGCCGTCCCTGAGGTGCCCAGCTACCCAGAAACCCCACGGTACCCTGACACACCCGTCTATACTGACACAACGTTCATCTCCTCCACCACTGATTTCACCAGCCCCATGGAAGACTACACGGATCTGACCACCATCGGAGCCACCGACGAACGCGGCACATGGGGCATGACCCGGGCCCAGAGCGGACTGGCCATCGCCGCCATCGTGATCGGCGTCATTGCCCTGGCCTGCTCCCTAGCGGCCTGCATCTGCTGTTGCTGCTGTAAGAAGAGGAGCCAGGCGGTCCTGATGCAGATGAAGGCACCCAACGAGTGTTAGGGAGGCTGGAGGCGGGGCTGGGGACTGGGGCCTCAGAGGGGCTGCAGATTTCATCCATCTGCCTCCCCTGCTTGGTCCATAGAGCTGTCTCCCCGGTGGCTCTGTCTGGGCCCTGGAGAAAGGTGCCTCCACCTTTTCCTGGTCTTCCTGGAGAGAAGCAGGTGTGGGAGGACCTTCTTCCCAGCAGGGAGCTCCACCTGGCCACGGCAAGAGCCTGGGGGATTCCCAGTTCCCACCCTTGGGTTTCCTTCAAGAGGGCACCTCCCTCGAATCCTCACACCTGTCTTCCAAGGACAGCCTGCCCCATGCCCACGCCCCTCCTGGCTTCTGTAGACTCAGTTATTTCCAAGCCTGCTGCTCACTTGCTGGGCGTAGTTCTCTCCCGGGCCAGCCCCGCTGCTGGGTCCTGTGTAAGTCGATCACCCCTTCTTTCGCTCTTCTCCTCTGGGCCCTGGGCCAGGGCTTGGCCCCGCCTTCTCGGGCGGAAGCTCCTCCCTGGGTTTTCTGCAGCTCGAGGCAGAGCCAGTTCTGTCCTCAGTAAGCCTCCACCCGCGTAGCTGGTTTCCCAGGAGCTGCCGAGCACCCTGGCTTTGAGGATGCCGTGACGAGAGGAGCATCCTGCTCTTAGGTCCTGGGGACAGGGCTGTCGCCAGCACCTCTCTCGTCATCATCACCTGGAAAAGCAGGGAGGGCACTGGTGCTGCAAGTTCAGCCCTTTAGAGAATGCTGTCTACAAACTGTGACATCTTGGCCCTGTAAGGAATAAAAGCATGTAGAATTTCTGACTTCCACAAGCACTGACATCAGCTTATTGGTACTGGATGGAGAAAGGAGCCTGGTGCCCTGGGCAGGGGGGGGAGGTTCCTCATATTCATCCCTGGGGTTTTCTTGTTTGCCTTCTCATTGAAATGGAACAAACATGGCGGCAAGCACGTGGCCTGGAGAATGTTCACAAACCAAATGCCCATGTAGTCAGCATCCTGGAACAGCTTTGTCAGTGTCCCCGCCCCCAGCTTTTCCTGGAGAACACGGGCTTCCGGCAATGGCACTGATCTGCCTGAGACCTGGTGCCCTGGAGCTGGATGGGCCCCTCCCTGCTCCTGGCCCAGGCCAGCCCTTGCAAAGGCCCAGCTGCCAGGGATGGAGGAGGAGATGTGGCGTGGACAGGACAGGAGACTCTGGCCTGGGCAACAGATTTTATTAAATCCTAAGACCCCAAGGCAGCCACACTGGCTGTGTGACCACGCCCTCCTCCCTGCCAACAAGCTGGAGGCCCTTTTATGGGCATGATGGGCCTGTTTCTGTTTTTAATTTTCATTCTCCATTTGGGGGAAGTGAAATAGCTCAGAGATGAGATCCTTTAATTGAACAACCACATGTAGCAGCATAGAGCGATCTGTCTAATGTCGTGGAAAATTCTCCATGCACAGTAGTCAGCCAGCAGCCACCAGTCAGCACGCTCACGTATAGCAGGGGTCAGACACGCTGCTGGCTGGGCACCCGGGGACTGCGGGCTCCTGGGAGCTCCTCCTTCCCGTGTTCTGGTTCTAAGAGTTGGGTTGTTTGGTCCAGGGTTATTTTCTTCCTTGAATGGAAATCACACCAGCACCTTTGCTACGCTTTCTACTATACCTGTGTTTACTCACCATTGAAAACAATTATGCTCATGGCAACACAGGCCTTTCTCTGGACAACTGGTCTACCAGGTGAAGAGCAAAAACAGTGAAAAGGAGAATTTCAGGGCTTTCTGTCTGCCCAGGGAAGATCTTTAGCTGACCCTCACTCATTCCCTTTGCCCCACAGAACATGTAAGAAGTCTCCCCGAGGGTCGGAGAGGGGGTCTTGGCAGCACAAGGCTGATTTCCTCTCCCATCCGCCAACAGAAAGGGTCCTGGAAGGGATGTTTGTGAAAATGGATGCACCTGTAGCGTTCTACTCTCTATCCCAGGGAATCTGGAACAGGCGGGGCTGTGTCACAAAGCACCATCTGGCCAAGGCCAATCCTGCATCTTCGGTGCGTTTTCGAAATGTCCGTAGCCACCAATGGACATGTGCCACAGCTTTCTGGTGCCCGGGAAGAAGTGAGCCTGGGGAGGGGGCGGGAGCATCATGGTGCTGCCGGCCGCTGCTCCGGTGGTCCTGGGGCCGGAGGGGAAGCCAGGCCTGCTCTCCTCCAGGCGTGAGGCACGGTTTGCCACCACGTCCCTCTACTCAGAACCATCATGTGCTGTTGTGTGCTGGCTCCAGCCTGGGGACAAGTGGCCAGGGCTGGGGGGCCGGGGGAGGGGCGGTGAATCCTCTTCATTCCAGGTACACAAACAAGAGCTCAGAACCCCTGAGTGTTTCTCACACTGGCCATGACATTGGAGTCTGTTTCTCTCTGGCCCAAAGGCTGGCCCGAGGACAGCTGTCTTCAAGTGACCGGGCCTGGGAGCGCCTGAGGTGGCGTTCCCTTTTAATCAGGGGTGGGGAACTTCTGGCCGAGGGCCATATAAGACCTGCAGAATCACCTGGTGTGGCCCAAACAAGGTTTCTGCAGGTGGAACTCGGAATTCAATAAGTCTGGAGCAGGCTCATTTTTCAAAGTTGATAACTTCTTACAGCCTGTGGGTAATGTTGGAAATACCCAGATGGCCTTCATCAGTAGAAAGCTTCCCCAGACTGCTTTATGTGAACCTTCTAGGCCGCCTGGCCAGTCACCCAGCAGCCTTCACAGCAGGGAGAGGGGCAGTCCATGTGGGAGGAAAGAGAATAAACGTCAATGAGAGCCACTAAAGTGCCTACTGTGCACAGACACCCACTAACACGTGGGGCACATGGTCCCTCTTCAGCCCTCAGAACACTCCTGTGATATGAGCACTCCCCTTGTGCCAAGTAGAAAATTGCTCGCTCTGCTCCTGATTCCACAGGCTCTGGGCTCTGCTTCTCTTTCAAACATTATGCAAGGCCTCCTGGCCTGTGCCAGCTTTTGTCATTAGCCCCAAGGAAATGGGAGCCACCCTCCTGCTGTTCCCCTCGGCCTCCGTCATTGGAACTCACCTGGTGCTGTGTACATCAAGAGCTTTGTAAATCCAGGGAGAGACTGAACTCGCCCACGCATTACAGAGAATCTGCCTGCTCTCACGGGGCCTGTTGGGTTGTGGGTCCACTGCTCCTCTCTCGGATTTAGAGACACAGCAGGGTTCTTCCAACTTTCCGTGGGCAACCCCACAGCTTCCGCAACCTTTCAAATGTCGCTGTTCTAGGAATTGACGTCCAAACCCAGGAAGCTTATGGGGAGTGGAAAGCTGGCGTGGGTAAACGGATGTGGGATGCGTCCTCGCTTTTTGTTATAAACCACTGCAAGATTCAGCCCGTGGATCCCGCAGTCAGAGCCATGTCTGGGTTTTGGGCAGGCAGTGGTGGTCTGGACAGGTGGGCAGCCACAGCCCAGTGAAACACCTCCTGGTTCCAGGTCCCTTCTCCAAAGAGGAGGTTGCTGCCACCAGCCCCTCTCCTTCCAATGCAGATCATGTTCAGCTTGCTTAGAGAATCATTGCAAATACACCCAAGTGCTTGGTGATGCATTTAGAGATTTCTAGGCTGCTGGGGTTTGCTAGAGTGTGAGCCCTGGTGGGCAGGGTGGGCGGGTCTGTCTTTTGCTAGGTGCTGCTTGTAATACATTTGGTGTACAGAATCAGCAATAAACAATATGCACAGGACACGGGCTGTCTCTGGATGCCTTGGCTGGAGGACCGCACGCTGGCGGTGCTCTTGCCACACGTGTGCCAGGCTGACCTGGACAGTGCCTCACTGAGAGTAGATTCTGGGCTGAGAACAGGCTGTGAAAGTGAGTGGGGACCAACAAGGAAACCATAAACGGTAACCATAGGCCTCTGTGGCTGAAGGGACCTTAAGGATAGGTTCAACAAAGCTCATTAACTAAAGGAGTGAGCTCAAGACAGCACGTGAACTGGTAGCTGAACCAGCCCTTCGGCCCAGGCCTGAGGACTCCCAGGCAGGAGTTTCTTCTGTGCCATCAGGAAGACAACGACATGCACTCAGCACTTGCTGCAGCCATGCACGCTCACACGCATGCACACAGGCACACACGCGAGCCTGCACACACTGGGGCGGGAGGACCGTGCGGCACACGTCTGGCTCTGGACTCCTGCCAGCGCTTGGCCCCGGGCCCAGTGACCCGAGGCTGAGAAGACACTCTCCGAATAACAGGATCCCCCCTGCCCGACACCAAGAGCCTGGGTGTCCCCAGGCTGCCTCCCTGCTGGAGCAGGCCCAGCCGTTCAGAGACGGGAGCTCTGCTGTTCCCTTATTTCACTGTTATGCCCGGGAAAGGCGCCCCAAGCCACATCCTCGTAGCCCTTCCCATGCCTTCTGTCGGCTGTAAGGCTGTGTGTAAGGAAGTGGTGCCGGGCCTGAGGCCATAATGTTCACCTTATTGCGGGACCAGAGTGTTTCCATGGCGAGGGGCGGGGTCTTCTTGCCCTTCCTGCCCTTCCCTAACCACTGAACCTGACCCACATGGGATTCTCGGATTTCCAGCCATGGGGAAGACGGAGTGGAGTCCTCCTCATTCTCTCCTGGAAGAACCTGGGGCCCCTAATGCAAAGCCCCCGCCACTCACACGCACACATGCCCAGCGTCTTTCCTGCAGGCTGCCTCTGCAGTTTGATCACACGCACCTCACCAGGCCCTCTGCCATCCTCACCCCACACACGTGAATGCAGACTCGCAGCGATTAAATGACTTGTCGAAGGACTGGCTGGTGGATTGGAGCCATAATTCAGACTTGGGGCTGTGGAATGCAGCATGCTGACGGGCGGACCAGCTGTGTGTGTGGAGGTGAACACCCGTGCCTTGAGGGCCTGCCTGGCTGGGTGTCTCCCCAGAGGCATGAGCCCACAATCACTTCCTCCATGGGTGGCTAGCCCGAGGGTGAAAGTGTTCCTCTCCATCTCGGGCCCAAAGTCGCTGTCCTATAACTTTTCCCCTTTTAACTCAGAAAGGATTTAGGAAGTTGACTCATAAACAAACAAAGCCAAAAAACACAGCACCCCTCCTGGCTCTGTTAGGGCCTCTCGCCAGGCTGGGAGCCAAGCAGGTGCCTGTGGCCAGCGGCCGGCTGAGGCACAGCTCCCAGAGCCCTGGCCAGGCTCTCGAGAGGGTGCCAGTGTGGACGGCTCTGAGAACTCTGCAAGCAGACTTCTGGAGCCTTCTAGGGCTGCTGGGTGACCTTGAAGTCCTAAAGGCCCCAAGCCCGCGACCTCTGTGGGGCTTTGGCTTCGCCAGGTGTTCGTCCGAGGGAGCAGTTCAGGGTCATTGTGTAATCTCCCGAGGCCCTGTGACCCTGTTGACATTCCAGGAACACTGGGGCCACGTGAAGGGAGGAACCACTGCCCGGAACTTTGATCAGCGCTGGGGCTGGATTCAGCTGGCCACAGACCACACAGACACCCCCTGCTCCCAAGGAAAAGCCAGGGTGCTGTCGCTGGACACAGAGCCACTCACGGTAGGCGGCCTGGGGTGGCTCCCAGCTCCGTGGAGGGTGTGGGGTGGGGAGTGTCTGGCCTGGGGGCTCCGCGGGGGCAGCACAGGGGCTTTCAGCTCTTCCCGGTGCAGAGTACTCCCCAGCTCCAGGTGGGCTGCAGGGTCTGCCCACCCCCTCCCCCAGGGCCTGGGGGAAGCTCCTGAGGGCTCAGCTGGGGTGGGCAGGGGGATTTGAGAGGAATGCCAGTCTGTCCTCAGGGCCTTGCAGGAGATGGGGAGTGCGGGTGGCTGTGTT